ATCTTAAATTCTGGCATGAGTGTGAAATTCACTGACAAAATTATTACATTTTCAACACTTAGTCTAGCAGTAGCTTGACTACGTCACTATAATTTCCAAGACAAGATCAATTACACAGGCCTGCGAATTTAAACTTCATAAAAGTTGTTTGGTTTTAATAACGGATTTTCCATAATTCAGCTACGCAGATTTCGAAAATAATATTCTCGTTCTTCTTGTTTCTTTTCTTTTTCTTCCAACAACTGCTGTAATTTCGCTTCTTGTTTCTTTTCTTTTTCCTCCAACAACTGTTGTAATCTCTCTTCTTGTTTCTTTTCTTTTTCCTCCAACAACTGTTGTAATCTCTCTTCTTGTTTATTTTGCTGTTCCAGCTGCCACTGTTGCACTGTTGCCACTGTTGCTTTTCTCGTTCTTCTTGTTTCTTTTCTTTTTCCTCCAATAACTGCTGTAATCTCTCTTCTCATTCTTCTTGTTTCTTTTCTTTTTCCTCCAACCACTGCTGTAATCTCTCTTGTTCATTTTCTCGTTCTTCTTGTTTCTTTTGCTGTTCTTGTATTGCTGCCATCAAGTCTGCTAAGCTGTAGTTTGATTTGCCGCTTCTTATTTCCATTTTTTTTTCGTCCCACTCTCTGACATCAATTTGTTACATCTCCGTTCGTTAGTTAATTTTCCGTAAAAAATTCTTCCCGAAGAATTTTACCGATACAAGTTCTTTCTTAAATAAAACTGGTTTATTCTTTCTGAATACAACTTTGCGATACACTTAATTTCAACAGTCGCTCTATAACAAACGCTATAATTCACAATGAACTTCTCATGTGCTCAACAATATTCTTACTCATTACCTACGTTGTTTCTTGGCCGGTCTTATATACACAAGACTACCCCAATCTAGTAGTCTCCCGACATTTCATGAAGGTTCGAGAAGGAAGTGGCGTGATACAAGAGTCACGTGACCTTCGCTGTCGTAACAATATATACTATATACAAAAGTATAATCAATCAGGTTGAACATGCCATTGATTGAAATAGAAGTCTACATTTTACTTTAAATTTTTCACATTTGTTGAAATGTCTTAGAAATTTTCTAGTTAACAAATGTATCAACTCCAGAGGAACAGGTTAGAATACAGCATGTGAAAGCTGCCTGGAAGAAAGACTAACAGCAGGAAAACATTAAAAGTGATGACAAACATAAAATCACACATCAAACAACTTTGATAAAATGAGAATGAATTAAGCCTTTGGCCTATTTAGTGATGAAGTTTTGAAAGGACTTTCATTTTACAGTTATGCGGAAAACCAGTATGGAAGCATACTTATGAGTTGAAACAAACAGTTTTGGTAATGACATTTCATTTTACAGAAGTGGTTCTTAACAAAGTAAAGTGCTTGGGAGTTTTTGGTTTATGTAAATGAATGGGGGGCCTAAGTTGGTTCTATGAATTGGACTTCTTACACAATTTAGAGTATCCATTAAGAGCATTCCTGTCTCAACTTTAGCATTTTAGAAACACTGTAAGCTTTAAGTACATCATGTTTAAACCAAAGTACCTTAGAAAATATTTTTGATATTATAAAACAGGCAAGTGGTTGCAATTATCACCCAAGTTCCACGGATTTTAACTTGTATAAATGCTTATGTTTTTATAATTACAAAATCCTTTTTTACTGCAAATACTTCTTCAGAGGTGTTTAATGTTATTCTGAATAATAGTAATACTTTGGAAATTACAAAAGGATCTATCTTCTGTTCTATAGATGATGATTTGTTGGATGTAGGAACTTTACCTAAGGTTAGTCAAATGCTTGATACTAATAAATGTATAAGTTAGCATTCTTACTTTGTGTTTGAAATAAGCAATGCATGATTAAGGCATTATGTATTAGAACTGTTATATGCCAGAAAATGTATATAACAAAGTGGCTGTGGAAACTGCATCATTCTTCTTTTAGTGACACCTGATTTAGCCACAAATCCAATTAAAAATTTCACATGAGTTTCAATTTGGAGGATTGCAGTTTTGAAGGAATGTATCAGTTAACTTCCAACCTTAAAGATACTATAACTTACTGTCTTAGTCACGTTGAACTTATATAGCTCATTGTTTTGTTGGATAATGTTCAGCACAGGAAACAGTACTAACAAAAGTATTATGTTTTACATGCTAACAAGGCTTCATTTTTACATTAAATTAGTGAGAACTGTAGTGATGGTAAAATACTGAAAAATAAAAAATATTTAAAAATATAAAGCTGCAAATAGATTATTAAATTTTCCTAGTTTTTCTGAAAAATCTGAAGCATAAATTTTGTTACTTTTTTTTTTATGAAGTGCCTTTCATATGTTGTAGCTGCATTTGTTTTATTCTAAGTTTTGTTACTCTTCATTTGCAGCTAATACATGGGAAGGGTTTGAAGCTGGTCATAACATCTTGGCAGTAGCCATTAGCTGTAATTCTGGAATATACCTACAACAGAGTCCAGCTGCCAATTATTGTACGAAATTGCCCTAATTAAGCATCAGTGTAACTTGTGTATGATGGGTTGAACTGCACTAACTACCAGAAGATGCATCATGAAACATAAAAGCTGACAATTGAAATGGATTACCATCGGTACTAGACTGCCTCAAGGATAATCACTCTTGCCAGTCCACTTCAACATCCACACCATGTGTTTAGCCTACTTTGACAGTCAAACCAGATGTTTTGTGCTAACTTTTACTGACAACATTCTGGTGTATAGCAGAAGCTTTAGCAAAGCTAAAATCAAAAACAAGATGCAATTATCTTTTAACATGATGAGCAAATGGTGCTATGACATAGGAATGGGCATCAGTTCTGACAAAGCCACAGCATAATCTGCACCCTCAAAATAGATATGTCGATGAGAGCAAACCATTTCCATCCGTTGTGGGCAGTGTCACCCTCTTCAAGAAACACTGGAGTGCCTAGTGGTAAACTTTAATAGACAACTCAACCTAACCACGCACTGCAACCAAAAGCATCAACGCAGTAGGACGTGAATATAAGCTATATTTACGTAGGTTTTTCCAGTTAATTCTAATTTGGAAACCCAGGATTTCTGTGTCACTAAGACTGGAACGCGAATCTATACAGACGGATATATATGAAAAATATAGCGTTGTTGACATATTATTACATATTTGTCTCTGATTTCACATATAAGTTTTAGAATCTTATGAATAGCAAAATTAGACCTTTTTGTTGTTGAGCTCAGACTCATGACCAGTATTATTGAATGGCGTTGTAGTTATGTTTATTGCTGCAAAGATAATTATTTTTATATTAGCTTTGACTCCACTTTAAACATGAATAAACGGAAGATGACATCTTGAAAAGCTCCCCCCCCCCCCCAGTGGCATATCTGCGGACTTACACTGCTAGAAACTGGATTTCGATACCCGTGGGCATAGCACAAATAGCCCTTTGCGTAACTTTATGCTTAACAACGCCGCACACAAACACAGTATCTTGATAAATTAAAAAAAACATATATAAATATAATCAAAAGAGCAACGCATTGTCGTGTATCTGTGCATTCCATGTAATAGTGATACGTTTTAGGTAAACGTTATATATATATATACACACACACACACACACAAACTTACATACAGAGCCGTTTTATCCAAATAATAAAATAATAATAACAAACCAGTTTTTAAGAAATATATATTTTCTTTTCTTTTTCTAATTTTTTATCATTGATAAATTGGACTCCATTGGCACAGCCGTATGTCTGCGACTTACAACTCTAGAAATTGGTTTTCGATACCCGTGGTGGGTTTTCTTGTTGTTCATTAATTTGTGCTGTGCTCTTAGTTTGTATCTGTTGAGGTTGTTGTTTGACTAAATTTTCATATGTAGTTTTTGTATTTGGGTTTCGTGTTTCTGGTGTAGGTAGGAGTGGTTTTCGTGGTTGTTGTTGTGTTTCTTGTGTGCTTGGTTGTGTTATGTTGTTGTTTATATTAAATATTTTGTCTTGATTTCTTTGTTTTAAACAGCCCTTATAATTGGCTGTATGCTGCTTATTACAGTTACAGCACAGTGGTGTGCTATTTTCTTTTGGACAGTTGCTTGTAAGGTGGTTATTACTGCAGCCTACGCATCTTGGTAGGGACTTGCATGCTGATGCTACATGCCTATAACATTGGCAGTTAAAGCACTGCGTGATAACAACCGCCTGTGTTTCAGTTTCTTCGACCTCAAACCTCTGGTACCAGAGTCTGATTCCATTGGTTATCAGTTCTTTGATATTGTTTTGTATATATGTGTTGTCTGTGTTTACTTTTATGATGGATGTGGGTTGATTTGTGCGTTTTGAAATTATTCTCTCCACTTTTGTGTGTGGGATGCGTCAGCCTGTGAGTTATTCTTGTATTTCTTCAATTGTTATTGAGTAATGTATACCCATTATTATGAAGGAGTTTGTGTTCGGTTTCATACCTGGTAAATGTATTTTTTATGTTTCCTGGACTGAAGGCCTCTTTAGGCTATTCAGTCAGGAGAATGTTAAGATCCTTGGCTTCGGCCTCTTACAGGAGGACTCCGCCCTTTGCTAATCTTTTAATGTTTGTGATATTGACTTGTGTTTTGTGCTTTTTATTTCATTTACGAGTTGTGGTTCTTTATATAAACCGGGTATTCCGTCAATGATGATTGCGTACTTGTTTTATCTTGCTTTTGTTTTTTTTAATTTCGCGCAAAGCTACTCGATGGCTATCTATGCTACCCTTCCCTAATTGTGAAGTGACAGGCTAGACGTGAGACAGCTAGTTAACACCACCCATCGCCTTCGCTTGGGCTACTCACTCGAATAGTGGGATTTGACCCGTTACTCTTATAACACACCCTTGGCCCCAAAGTGTGGTATAATGTATATATTATATTATAAACTCGGTAAACGTCAGAGAAGATGCACAAATAGCAACTAAAAGTATTCAAACTCATAAAAAAACAAGAACATTAACTTCGTGAGTTACAAGTCATTGATTTTTTTATTAAATAAATGGTATTACACTATTCTCTTTTACATACTAATATTCACAGGAACTGGTTATTCTGTACTAAATTACACGGGTTTGGCTTTCACTTGTAGAATTCTGATCTGACTGGAAACTTTGTTTACTGTGAGATAAGTAAATTAATACCATCAATGATTTTCAACTATTTTCATTACGAGTTAAAAATATACAAACTAGCAAATTTATCATTTGTACAGCAATGAAAGGATTATTTTTGTTTCAAGTTTTTCACATAAAAAAATTAAAATCCTCAAATTTACTAATTAACATTTTATTAACTAGCTTAGTAGATAGCAAAGATTCACAAGAGTTCTTTTGTACATCAAATCTCACTACGAATAATTCAGAGTTTAACACTTTTAGATCTATCTGATTCAGTTTTTGGTGTTGTTTCCATCAGTGGTGGAGTAGAAGCTCACTCTGACGATTTTACCAATTCTGTATCTCAAATAGGAGGTTAAGATTTTGCCATACTATGTGCTCTACTGGTGTGCGTTGATGGCTTGACCAACTGTGGCCCAGTAGTCAACATTGGTGATTTAGCAATTCGAAAACTAGAGTCTAGCAGGGATGAGTTATAGGAACTAGAATCTGTGCTAATCACTGAGGGAACAAGTGATTGCGAGCAAGTACTGATTACTTGTAATGAGTCCATGCTGAATAGAGATAAAGTTATTGGTGATTGTATCGTACAAATGGAATTTTCTCTGGACAGTAGAGGTACTGCTGATTCGTCGGTCTCTGTTGGCCGGGATTCTGCCATTAAAGACTTCCTTCTCTGCCTGACCAAGTTTGTAAAATTCTTCACTTCCTCATTTCCTGACATTGACCACTTGTCAGGAGAGAAATGCCTTCTCCTCCATAGCAGCCGTTCTGCCAAACAGCAGAAAGAACTAAACAGAAATAAGAAAATGCCCGATAGCGCGATAAAGATAATGACATCCCATTTACTAAAACAGTTTCGGAATTTAACTGAACTAGGTTTCTGCACAATACTGGTGTCAGTCTCGTTTTTAAATTTATAGTTTTGTGAAGTCGAAGTCCTCTTTTCATCTGATACATTTTTAAACTCACCAGTAGTCTCAACAAAAGATATATTTTTTTGTGGATAATAACTTTTACCGTGGTACATAGAATTTAAGTCTTGTAAAGTTGAAGAGTGTGATAGTTCAAGGGAAATCCTAGAATTTGAAATCCCATCCATAACTGGCTCAGCGGAATATTTGACTCTGCTGGACTTCACATTGGCAGGACTATCCATCTCTAACGTCGAGTTCCAGGTATGATTGATAAAGAACAATGTATTGTTCGGGATCTCAGTATCTGTTGATGAAAAACAAAACAAAAAAGACACATTGAATAAAAAAGTAGTTTTCTTAATACCAAGATAAGGTTAAGTACCAATAACTACACGAGTGTATTTGTATCAAACAGCTCGTATAAATGTAGTAAAACTGCTCAGTTTTAGCCAATCTATGTTCTTAGTTCATTCAAGTTTTTATAAGTTGTTTACATGCATCTGCTGGCAAGATGTTTTAAAATATCAGCAGAGAGAGAAAAAGACTTGTTTGTGTACCGTTTACAACATGTGGAGTCCACATATTGAGTAATTTACGTTTATGTTTGTTTCGACAGTCACTGTAAATAAATTAATTTTATGTGTTTAACTGTTACAGTACTCAATTTAAAGAAACGACAAAAAAAAAAAAAAATCCAATGGCTGAAACCAATCATTTTCGTGGGATTAATTGTAGTACTGTTGGCATATTTGTTTAAGTTTCTTGTATGTGACGCATATATTGGGACCTGGCATAGCCTGGTGGTTAGGGCTCTCGGCTTGCAATCTGTAGGTTCAATCCCACCATTCGTTGGTAAAAGAGTAGCCCAAGGGTTGACGGTAGATGGACGTTGTTGACTGGCTACCTCTCCTATAGTTTATAACTTCAAATTTACAAAAGGGGGAAGGTAGTGCAGATAGCCCCCGAGTGGCTTTCACCGAAATTCAACAAATATAGATTATACAATATATATATATATATATATAACGTAGTTTATTCTTTACCTTGCAGAACCAGGTGTGGCACAGTGATTAGCGCTCTCGGACTTTAATTCCGATGTCTCGTCACGCTTCAGAATAAGTTAGGGACGTTTAGTACAGAGAGCCCTCGAGTAGTTATTTGCACAAATAAAATTATATAACATGAACCATTAAGCAGTTTCGTTGCAAATAATTTCAAAAGTGTTTTAAAAGCCCATGAAACTCATCGCTAATTCTGATGCTAAACGTTAACTATCTTACGTTTAGCTCGCACTTATGACGTTATTTTCAATATACGTTCCCGTAAAATGCAAGGACATGACAAGGGAGTGAACGCAAGACAAGCGTTTTCCGATTGTCACTTATACGTATACATACTTGGCGTTAATTTATGGATACGCATAAAAGCGGTAGATAGAGCGCAGATTGCTTTGCGCTACCAAACAAACAAACGAACAAAAAGAAAGCAAAGTGGACTAAACAATCGCGAAACCAAGATGACAATTTTTAATTAACGATTTATAATAGCACTCAACAAAACCAAAGTTAAATGCGAGTTTAGCTCTAATATTTGAAACCCCAAAAAAGATGTTGCTTGTCTTCATTTATAAACATTTAACAAGTCTGTTCCAAGTATCTTGATCTACAAAACCTACCAAAAGTAAATAAATAACTTAAAGGCAAGTGAAAAAAAAAAAAAAGTCAGGATTTTAACGCGTAAATCACAAGTTAATGTACAGCAATTATGATTGTTAGTGCATGTACTCGCTTCCTCTGGAGACGGGAAGTAGGAATGACTTATCTGAAGCTGCAGCCTGGAACCGTCGTTGCATATGTATAAACACATTTTCAAAACCAACACTGCACATAACAGAAGCACGTTATAAGCACATAAAAGTTAAATATATCATGTTTTGTTCTAAATTTATGAAACAGACTAGATAAAACATAGATATTTTAAGTATTTTAATAACACAGGCCTGCGATGGTTTGATTGTCTTGAAATTTGTACATGTTCTACAGTAAAACCTGTACGCTGAATCCGAAAATTGTATCCATTTTTTCTCCATCACTTACAGATTTTTCACAAAACGTCATATGTACTTTTACATAAGTGAATCATTGGTCATTGAAATCGGGTCACATTTTGTTATGCTTAAAATGTTGACAACCACTGATTAGAGATTTCTCTAGACCAATCGCGACGTGAGAGTCCTTTAGATCGTTCTAGAACCCAAACATAATAATAAAAAATGTTTATTGTGGTAAACGAAATCATAATTTGATCTACGTAAGAGTATTTTTTTTCTTCGCGATTTGTACAAAATCCTTACGTGATAAAAAATGTTCTAACAACTGCTGTAACTTCTCTTCTTGTTTATTTTCTTTCTCCTCCAACCACTGCTGTAGTCTCTCTTGTTTATTTTGCTGTTCGAGCTGCCATTGTTGTAGGTTTTCTTGCCACTTCTGTAATCTTTCTTCTTGTTTCTTTTCTTTTTCCTCCAACAACTGCTGTAATTTCTCTTCTTGTTTATTTTGTTGTTCAAGCTGCCACTGTTGCATGTTTCTTGCAACTGCTGTTGTCTCTCTTCTTGTTTCTTTTGGAGAGAGAAAATAAACAAGAAGAAAAGTTACAACAGTTGTTGGAGAAAAAAGAAAAGAAACAAGAAGAGAGACTACAACAGTGGCAACTGGAACAAGAAAGGAAACAAGAAGTACAAACGGAAAACATTAGTAAAGTTAAATGCGAATTAGATACATTAAAGGATGATATATTGTCTTTGACACAAGGAGGATACATTAAACATCGACTTAATCAGTCCCACACAATGACAAGCCCCTTCCAGACCCCGCAGCTAAGCCCTAATGCAGACATATTCAGTCCCGTTAGAAGCCATATCCCAGATATGAATGTCAGTACTAGGAGTGATCCAGTTCGAAGGAAGCCACAGGAATACGATGAGAGAGCACCGTGGGAAGCATATAGAACACAATTTGAGCTACTGGCAGAGATGAACAGATGGACAGAAGAGCAGAAAGCAGTATATCTGGCAACGAGCTTGAAGGGACAACCACTGGAAATACTTGGACAGTTGTCAGCAGACGACAGCCACAACTATAGAGCACCGGTGTCGGCTCTAGAACTCAGGTACGGAACCCAAAATCAGTCAGAAGTCTACAGGGCTAGGTTTAGGACGAGAGTCCGTGCTCAAGGGGAGAGCCTGCAAGAGCTGGCACAGGACTTGGAAAGCATGGCACACAAGGCCTACCCAACTGCACCACCTGATCTCCTCAAGTTGTTGCTGAGGGATCCGTTCGTAGATGCCTTGGACAGTCCACAACTTAAGATACAAGTGAAGCAAGCACACCCCTCTACCATGCAGGATGCAATGACCAGAGCTCTCAAATTTGAATCCTACGTTAAGTCCAGCACAGAGGTACCGAGGTTGGTACAGTCATCTGGATTCAAGGGCAGAAAAGGTCAGCTTTCAGAGAGGTTTGAGAGACTTTGCTTGCACTGTAACAAACCTGTGCACAAGAGAGCTCAATGCTGGAAACTTCAACACAGAGGAGGTGCCACAGCAGGAAAGGCTGGTATCCAGAAAGGTTGTTGGAACTGTGGAAAGCACGGACATTTGAGGAGCCAGTGTAGGAAGAATATTACCAACAAGTCGTCCTCAAGGAGACCAGTAGTGGTTGGTGTTGAGCGACGCCCACCAACCCCCATCATGAAAGTCCCAACAGCTAGGTGTAAAATGCCAAACACACACAGTGTCAATGTGACAGGAAAGCTAGATGGCCAAATGTGCAACTTTGTCATAGACTCTACGTCTCAGCAAACCCTTGTGAG